TACTTCACTACGTCCCTGGACCCCCTGTGGGCCGCGCATGTGCCGCCGGCCATGCTCTCCTGCCCCCGAGTGCGCCGCCGAATCTGACGATGCCAGCGGTGGTGGAGGTCGTGGTGGCGGTGGCGGTGATGGTGACGGTGGCGGTGTTGGTGATGTGTCTGCGTCTGCTCGTGGGAAGGCCTCGGCGGGTCTTCGGCGGGCTTCTGGAGGGCCTCGGCGGGCTCTCGGCTGTCCCGGGGGGGATCCCGGGCGGCTTTCTTCGGCGGCGTTTCAAGGGGGGGGGAAGTGAGAAGGAGAAGGCCCGCTCAGAAGGCGTCGGCAATCGTGGCTGATTTGTGCGTCGCCTCTGGCTCGCACGGGTAATCGGGCGCAGATGCGGAGGTGCATTCAAAGTAGGAGCAGCAAAGGCATGCGCATGCAGATGCTTCTGCGCGTCGTGTCGAGCTTCGCGGGGGAGAGCTCATATCAGCCCGAGCAGCGAAGCACGGGAGCACTGACGCAGACAAGATCTGTCCAGGGAGCGCACTTCGGATATGACGGGAGGCCTTATTTTCGGACAGGAGGAGGAGGAGGAGGAGGAGGAGGAGGAGGAGGAGGAGGAGGAGGAGGAGGAGGAGGAGGGGGGGAGGGGGGTGTCGCGCATGGTCTCGCACTTAGATCTAGATATTACGAAGGCCTTACGGCCAGTGCCGCCGACCCTGAAGCGGAAGGACGACCACGGCGGCGGCGGCGACGACGACGACGTCGACGTGGGTCGGAGTCCTCATGGATGCTTCTTGGGATCTCTTCGAAGCAGTCTCGGGGGCCTTTGGGGGATAGTTTAGGGGCCTCTTGGGAGCTTCTTCCGGGCCTCTTGGGAGCTTCTCGGGGGCCCCTCGGGGCTTCCTGGGGGCCTCTTGGGGGTCGCGCATGTTCGCGCACTTGGATTTAGATATCCGTAAGGACTTCGCCCCCTGCCGCCGGCCCCTTCTCTATCAGAATAGGATATATCAGAGTCGCGTCGGTGCGACTCGGCGTTGCCTTGGCGCATCTGGGAACATCATGCGGGGACGGATAATTTGGAATCATCAGCGCATATTGAGACGTTGGCGTTATCGAAGACGCCTACGGCGAATCACCGCCGCGATCTCAGGCTTTTGGACCATGTAAACGGAAGCTTCTGATGCTGATGAACCAGTCGTCAACATTAAAGCTTTGTAGATGCTGCCTCAAGCAAGAAGCATCCAATCGCGGCAGCGACGGACAGGTGGTTAGCGAACGGAATACGACAACTACGCTCAAATCTCATCTGCCGAAAAATGAAAGTACAGGATCGACTACTTCTTCATTGGTATCGACATGCGAACATAATAAACAATGCATTTATGCAACTGGAACATTTAAACCTAACATACGCATACAACTGACATAGAACATATATTCACAGCCGCACCCACAGGCAAACACACATAGGCACACGCACATAAGCACACGCACACGGATACGGACACATACACACACGCACACACACACACACACACACACACACACACACACACACACACACGCACACAGAGAGGCAGCATACGTTCATGCAGACCGCAGGAGCACGGCAGGGCAGCACGGCATAACACAGCAGTGCCGCAGACCACCACGCACGGATACACATACGCGGATTTCACGCACGCACGCGCACGCGCAAACGCACGCACGCCACGACAGATTTGCGCAGCGCATATTAAGAATGTAGGATATCTTATAAGCCCAGGACACAAAAAAACGCTTCCCGTTCTTGTCCAGTCAGGTCCCCCCGAATGGCGATGTTGCTTGAAACGTCGTCACAAAAATGCAATATTCGCGACATCGCGTTACAACAACAAGCGTTTTGCTCGAGACATCCTCGAAAAGCTGATCGCCGCGAAATTCATTCATCTGTAGAAATTTGCGTTTCGCCTGAGACATCCTAGCCAAAATGAGGTGTCGACGGAGGTGTATTAGTACCTCTGTCGTTGAAAACTACGTTTTCGCTGGGGACATCCTCAGAAAATGCCCGGCAGCACGGCGGACCAGAACAAAGAGCACGGCAGAAAATGTGCATGTCGTTGGGGCATCCTTCAACAACGAGATGTTCTCAACATAGTTCTTGACGTGTTTCAAGATGGAAAAAGAGAGCCCAAAAAGGATTTGAATATGGCTCCAAGAGCGCCCGGATGACTGCCGAAAATGGCGATTTCGCGAGGGACATCCTCAAACAATGAGAAAATACAACAGCATCGTTTTTTTAACTGCGGTTGTACCATCGTCTTGGGATCGTTCTTGAAAAGGCTTCTAGACGGCCCATCCAGGTTTCTAAAAATGACGATTTCGCAAGGGACATCAACAAAGAGATGCGTGTGGCATCGCATTTGCATCGTTTTTGATGGCGTCGAGACAGCCCCGAACGAGCCCCAAACGAGGCCCAATATGACCCCAAGAGCGCCCTCGAGATGCCTCAAGACTCGCATTTCGCTCGGTACATCCGAAAACATGAGTTGTTTGCAACACCGTCTTTCACAGAAACAATAATTTCGCCTGAGACATCCACCAGAAAATGAAACCCGCGAGTTTTTTAGCAAATTTATGGAAATGGGGATGTTGCCTGAGACATCCTCGAAACAATGAGATGTTGAAAGGGCTGGTTTAAGACCATGCGTGTTAAAACTTAATTGTCTCGCCTGGGACATCTTCAAACAATGGGCAGGATCACGGCAGCCTAACACGCAGAAGCACGGCAGAACGTGCGAGAGAGCACGGCAGAACACACAGGAGCACGGCAGAACACACAGGAGCACATCCGTAGCCATTTTGGCTCAAGCGAGCCGCGTTTCGGGAGGCCCTCGTGCGAGCCGCGGACGTCGCGGCGCGGCGCGCCAGCGGCCATGGCCGCCGCGCTTGGCGCGGGCGGCAAGGCATGGGCGGCGGCGAGCGCGCGGACGCTCGCACGGCGACGCCGCCGAGAAGTTCAACAGGAGCTCGGAGCGTCTCGCGCCGCCGCGCTGGCGTCGCGCGGCAAGGCGCTCAGAGCCTCGTTCCGTGCACACTGGCGATTATGTGATTGGCGGGGGGTGCATTACCCCAGCATGGGAGAGGCGTTGGCAGCGGCCAGGCTCCTCCAGTTGCCACGCGACGAGCTTCCGGAGATCGAGGACGCGCTGCACTTCGGCAACCGCGCCCGGCACGCGCCCTCCCCCCCGGAGGCTGCAGGAGGCGCCCCGCAGTTGCTTGACGGCCTGCCGTTGCAAGCGCAGGCCTTCGAGTGCGTCGTCGCGGGCCACAGCACGTCGCTGCGTGCCGAGGCGCCCGCCTTTGCCCCCAGCTGCGTAGGCGAGGTGGCAGCCAGGGCGCGGGAGTCCGCCCTGTTGGCAGCGCTCGAGGTGACCCAGGTGCCCGATGAGAAGGGCATCGACGAGGTGAAGAAGACCGTCGACCAGGTGCTCGGCAAGAAGATGTTCTTCGAGTCGCTCTTCACGCAGAAGGGCGAGACGTTCGAAGAGCAGGTGCTGGACGTCACCGGCGACGACGTGGGCGTCGACCAGGGGCTCGGCGATAATGCGTTCATCGAGCCGCTCTTCACGCAGGAGGGCGAGACGCTCGAGGAGCAGTCGATGGACGTCATCAGCAACGACGCGGGAGTCGACCAGGGGTTCGGCGAGAACGCGTTCATCGAGCCACTCCTCACGCAGAAGAGCGAGACGTCCGAGGAGCAGGTGCTGGACGTCATCCGCTTCGAGGTTGGCGTCGACCAGGTCTTCGGCGAGAATGCGCTCATCGAGCCGCTCTTCACGCAGAAGGGCGAGGTGTTCGAGGAGCAGGTGCTGGACGTCATCAGCAACGACGTGGGCGTCGACCAGGCGCTCGGCGAGAACGCGTCCATCGAGGCGCTCTTCACGCAGAAGGGCGAGACGGTGCTGGGCGTCATCAGCGACGCCGTGGGCGTAGACCAGGCGCTCGGCGAGTACGCGCTCATTCAGCCGCTCTGCACGCAGAAGGGCGAGACGGCGCTGGGCGTCATCAGCGACGACGTGGACGTCGACCAGGTGCTCGGCGAGACTGCGTTCATCGAGCCGCTCTTCACGCAGAAGGGCGAGACGTTCGAGGAGCAGGCGCTGGCGCCGCCGACCGCTGCCGCCGCCCCCGTCTCGGAGCAGGGAGCGGCGCTGCGCGACGAGGACGTGCTGGAGACGGGCCACTCGGGCTCGGAGTGCGGGTTCGTTGGCGGTGGTGGCGGCGGCGGCGGTGGCGCGTGCAGCCCAGGGGCCGAAGTCGGGAGTTGAGTCACTCCTGGACTGGGCCGAGGCCCGCGCCCTCGGCGTTCGCCTCGGCAGCGCAGGTTGCCCAGATGCCGTGGAGCGCGTGCGGCTCCTCGACGGTCTCTTGGCCCGTGCGCGTCGCACGACGCGGTCCAAGAGTAGTAAGTGAGGCGGGCAGTTGCATTCTGCATGTAGATATGTTCTCGCCTTGTGGCGCGGCCGCGGTGGAGGCCCAGTGCGGCCCCCGCGGGGAGAGGCGGCCCTAGGCGGCCCCTCTCGGGGGGGCGTGTCTCGGGTGGCGCTGTGCCCTTGGAGGCCCCTCGGTTCCTTCTCCTCTCCTCCCCTACGCCTTGAAGGCCCCGTCTTTAATTTTAACTTTAACACGCAGGAGCACAGCATAACCCAAAGAACACATGGGAGCACGGCAGAACACACAGGAGCACGGCAGAACACAGAGGAGCACGGCAGAACACACAGGAGCACGAGGAGCATGGCAGCACACATAATACATGGGAGCACAGCAGAACGCACAGGAGCTCGGCAGAGCACGCCGGCGCACGGCAGAACACACAGGAACATACAGGAACACGGCAGAACATCCGTAGCCATTTTAGCTCAAGGCCATGGAGCACCCGACGACCGCGAGTCGTCCGCGGCGTTCCGAGCGCGAGGGGCTCCTCGCTTTGGGCCAGTGCACTCTGTTGTTCTGCTCCTTGCTTTCGCAGCGCGGAGGCGCGACCTGTCGGCCCGCGCGCCTGGGGCCACGGCGCGCTCCTCGCGTGGCGGCAGCGGTGGCAAGCGCAGCAGGCCGTACTGGATGTGCAGCTGCGGAGGTTGGATTTGGGACTGGCGATCCTCTTGCCTCAGCTGTGGGCACGCAGCGCCGCCCTGGGCTCTGGGGTCGGCCCCCGGCGCGGCGAAGCCCAAGGCTGACGAGGACGGATGGGTGGACCAGCCGAGGGGGCGCAAAGCCCAGCGGCAGGCCCGCAGCGCTGCCTCGCGAGCGGCGTCCGCCAAGTCGCAGACTTCGGCTTCTGCGGCCAGTGGGGCGCCGAGCGGCGGCGGAGTCACGGCTATCGAGAGGCTGCAGGCGACGGTCGAGCAACTGGAGGCGCTGCAGGCTGGGCCGCCCGAGGGCGTGGACGGCAGCTTCACCGGCGTCGTGGCCAGCCAGCTGGAGGCGAAGCGGGCAGAGCTGGCCAGGGCCCAGCAGGCTGCAGCGGAGCAGAAGTCCGCCACCATGCCGCGGTCGACGCTGCTGCACAAGGAAGCCAACGCCATCAGCAAGGCGGAGAAGCGGCTCCGCGCAGCCCGCCAAGACCTGGAGCAGAAGCAGGTGGCGCGCGACCTCGCGGAGGCCCAGCTCCAGAAGGCCCAAGAGGAGCTCGCGGAGCTGGACGGCGCGCTGGAGGAGGCCAGCAGGGCGCTCCAGGTCCTCGAGGAAGCCGCCCGTGAGAAGGCGGAGGCGAGGCAGCGCCAGCGGGCCGCTGAGTGGGCAGGAGCCAGCCAGGTGCCAGGGCTCCTCACGCAGCTGGACAAGCTGCCAGAAGCTTGGGCCTCCAGCAACTTCGAGGTCGCATGGGCAGCCATCCGCGCCCAGATGGAGGCGGTGCGAGCGCAGCTCGCTGGGCCCCCCCTAGGCCCCGCGCAAGCACCGCGGGCAGAGTCCTGCCCCAATGGACGAGATCAGCAGCGACGACGGCAACCTCGCAGGCAGCAGCTGCCCCTGGCAGCCCCAGGCCGCAGCGGAGCGCGGCCAAGCTGAGCGGTGCATGGCAACGCGCTTGGCGAGCGGCCGCAGGTGGCGCAGGCCTGCAAGCGGGAGCTGGCAGCCGAGGCTGCGGACCTGGCCCCTTTGGCTGCTCGTCCTGCCACGCTGCTGGGAGCAGGGGCGGAGGAGCCCCGCCAGAGCAGGCGAGTGCCTAGTGACGCCCTCGGGAATGCGCCCGCCCCACCAGCACCAGGGCGGACAGCGGCGGCGGCACGGGGCGCCAGAGGAGGGCTGGAGGCCTTCGGGGCCTCGCCCACAGGGGTGACGGGACGACCCCTGGTGCGGATCGACTGGCACTTCAAGTCGGAGCCGTACTGGGTCGCAGAGCACGGCGACGAGTTCGATCCCATGACCCTCGAGCCTCGTGCGCAGGCCGCTCGGCAGGCCTGGGACCCGAACCTCCACCGACACTCGGCCCTCACCCACGCCGTGCGCCAGGCCCTCGATGTAGCGCTGCAGAGGCTCACAGCTGACTGGACGCGGCGCTGGCAGCCCTCGCACGAGGCTTGGTATGTTCGGCAGGTGGCGCGTGTCCTGGCCGATGTGGAGGCAGCCACCGCAGCGGCCTGCGAGGAGGACGAGGGCGGGGCCTTCGAGTTCGGCACTAGCGAGTGGAGCGACCTCATTGGCCAAGCAGGCGTACTTGGGCATCCTGAGGCGACGGCAGTGATGGCGGACCTGCTGCAGTCAGCCGAGCTGCCGCTCAGGTTGTGTGCTCGGGGGCTGGAGGCTGCAGCAGCCAGGCGCGCTAGTGCCGCCACTGGGGAGCGCTGTGCCTCGCCCACCGACGCGGTGGTGCGGATCCTGGTGCGGCTCGGCTGGTACCTCGAGTCGGAGCGGTGCAAGGTCGCGGACCTCGGTGACGAGTTCGATCCCATGTTCCTCGGGCCTCGGGCGCTGAGCATGAAGGATGGTTCTGATGCTCGGCAGGCCTCCAACCGCCATGAGAGGCGGAAGCTCATCAGCGACCCCCTCTTGCTTCGGCCGTCGTTCGGGGACGCCATCGGGCAGCTGCTCGGGCCAGGTATCGAGCTGTGCGTGTGGGAGCATCACATGCGTGGTGCCCACATCTCCAACACGCACTGGGCGATGCGTATCTGGAGGATACGCAAGCCAGTCGACGGCAGGTTCAACGGCAAGCTGTACCTCGATGGCAAGGATAGCGAAGGGCCCCCCCTCCTGCAGGCGAGCAATACCAGGTGCAGGCCGCTACGGCCGAGGAGCCTCCGTTGGCTGGAGCGGCCCTCGGCGTCGGCGCTCCCGCCAAGCGGCCACGCCTGCGGAGCAGCCGCTCGACTGGGAGCAGCACGACCGCCCTCTCGGCCACTGCCGCCGCCTTCAGCATCCTGGGGCACGCGCTCTGCTACGCCTGCGCGGGAGAAGGCGAGGGCGCCCAGGAGATCGTGGCCTGCTCCAGGCGCGGGGCCTACAAGGTGCTGGGCAGCCACGCAGGAGCCAAGCCTCGCCTGAAGGAACGGTGCCCAGGCGATAAGACGAGCAAGTCAGGCAGGGACCAGCGCAGCCTGCGGGAGCGAGGGCTCCATCCTGGAGGCAGGCCACTAGCGGGCAAGCAGAGAGCGAAGGGAGAGGGCATCCCCGCTCTGCGGTCGCAAGGGCCAGTGCCAGGACACGCCCAGGGGCGCTACCTGGAGTGGCTCGGCATCGAAGCGGAGTCTGCAGGTGGTGCCTCGGCCGCAGCCAGCAGCTCAGGCAGCGGCCCAGCTGCTCCCGCGGCGGCGCAGGCGGCGGAGGTTGCGGCTGCCAGCCTGCCCCTGCGGCAGCCAGCCTCGGCGAGAGCTGGGCTCCTCGGCGTGCACGGGACCACCGAGGAGGAGTTCGCCGCCGCGGACAGCACGGCGGACGGCCAGGTGAGCCGCAGGGTCCGCCGCCGTCTGGCGCGCCGCGGCCCGCCGTCTGAGAGTGAGTGAAGCATACGCATCGTTCTGCTCACGTGTGTTGTGTTGCTCCTTGTGGCGAGTAGGCGCGCGTGGCTCGCTTTGCTTTGGGATTCGGCTTCTTTCGGGAACTGTGGTCCCGTCTGGCCCTGTCCGCGTTTTGTTTGTTTTCCCCCTGCGCCTTGAAGGCCCCGTCTTGAACTTCAACTTTAACACGGCAGAACACACAGGAGCATTGCAGAACACAGAGGAGCACGGCAGAACACAGGTGCAGGAGGAGCACGGCAGAGTTCGGCAGAACAAGCAGGAGCGCGGCAGAACACGCAGGAGCATGGCAGAACATGCTGGTGCACGGCAGAACACACAAAACACAGGAGCACAGCAGAACAAGCAGGAGCGCGGCAGAATGCAGAGGAGAACCTCCGTAGCCATGTTGGCTCAAGGTCATGGAGAACCCGACGACCGCGAGTCGTTCGCGGCGCTCTGAGCGCGAGGGTCTCCGCGCTTTCGGCCAGTGCAATTCGAGTTTGTGCTCCCTGCTTTCACGGCGCGGAGGCGCAGCGCCGCGGCCAGCGCGGCAGTGGCCACGGCGAGGTCCCCGTGCGGTGGCGGCAGCAGCAGGCGCAGCAAGTCCTACTGGATGTGCAGCTGCGGCGGGTGGAACTGGGACTGGCGCACCTCTTGCCTGGGCTGCGGGCATGCGGCCCCGCCATGGGCGATGGGGACGCCCCCGCCCAAGGCGAGGCCCAAGGCAGACAAGGACGGCTGGGTGGATCAGCCACGAGGGCGCCGTGCCCAGAGGCAGGCCCGCGGCGCGGCCTCGCGGGCAGCGTCCACCAAGTCGCAGACCTCGGCGTCGGCAGCAAGTGGGACGCCCAGCGGTGGAGGCGCCACGGCGATCGAGAGGCTCCAGGCGGCAGTCGAGCAGCTCGAGGCGCTGCAGGCCGAGCCCCCAGAAGGTGTGGACGGCTGCTTCACCGACGTCGTGGCCAGCCAGCTGGAGGCGAAGCGTGCTGAGCTGGCCAAGGCCCAAAAGGCAGCAGCGGAGCAGAAGGCCTCGTCCCTGCCACGGGCGACGCGGCTCCACAGGGAGGCGAACGCCATCAGCAAGGGCGAGAAGCGGCTCCGGGCAGCCCGCCTAGAGCTCGAGCAGAAGCAGGAGGCGCGCGACCTCGTCGAGGCCCAGCTCCACAAGGCCCAGGAGAAGCTCGCGGAGCTCGACGAGGAGGTGGAGGAGGCGAGCCTGGCGCCCCAGGCGCTCGAGGAGGCAGCCCGTGAGGAAGCCGAGGCGCTGCGCCGCCAGCGCGCAGCCGAGTGGACAGGAGCCAGCCAGGTACCAGGGCTCCTCATGCAGCTGGGGAAGTTGCCAGAGGCGTGGAGCTCCAGCAACTTCGAGGTGGCCTGGGCTGCCATTCGCGCCCAGATGGAGGCAGTGCGGGCGCAGCTCGAGGGGGCCCCAGTGGCCTCCAAGCGCACGCCGTGGGCTGAGCCCTGCCCCATGGAGGAGATCAGCAGCGACGATGGCGAACTCGCGGGCGGCGGCGGCGTCTGGCAGCCCCAGCCAGCAGCGGAGCGAGGCCAAGCCGAGCGGCGCGGCAAGGCGCTGGGCGAGTGGCCAACGGTGGCCCAGGCGTGCAAGCGGGAGCTGGCGGCAGAGGCAGCGGACCCGGCTCCCCTGGCTGCTCATCCTGCTGGCAGGGCCGCTGGGAGCCGCGTCGGAGGGGGACAGCCAGGGCCAGCGAGTGCCTAGCGAGGCCTATGCGGCGGGCCTGCGCCTACACGAGAGCGGCACCGAGGTCGTCGAGGGCGACTTGGTGGGGCTCCGCGGCATGGGCGTCCTCGACCCGCCCTGGGACCAGGAGCGCGTTGCAGGGCCCAGCTGTGTCCACGTCTTCCTGGGCACTGGGGAGAACGTAGTTGGGGCCATCGAGTTCGGCACTAGCGAGTGGTGTGGCCCCGTGGGCAGAGCAGGTGTACCTGAGCCTCCTGAGACGATGGTCAGGAGTGCGGATCCGCAGCTGCCTACCGAGAAGCCACTCAGGGCGCGAGCGCAGGGACGTGCGGAGGCGGCAGCCAGGGGCGGTGCAGCCGCCACAGGCGTGAACCGTGCCTCGCCCGTCTGCGCTGCGGCGCGGGCCCAGTGGATCGGCGACTGGCACCTCGAGTCGGAGATTCGCATGGCCATGGACATCGGTGGCACGTCCGACCCCATGTTCCTCGAGCCGCGGGCGAGGTCCTCGGGAGCAAGCACGAATTCTCAGCTGGCCTGCTACCGCCACGCGAGACGGGACCCTTCCAGCAGGCCCCTCTCGCTTCGGCAGTCGCGCGGGGACGCCATCGAGTTGCGGTTCAGGCCAGGAGTCGAGGAGAACGTGGCGGAGCGGCGAGCACGAGGAGGAGGTGACGGCGAACTCGACAGCGAGCAGTGCGTCAAAGGCTTGGCCTCGAGCAGCGGAGGGCTCCTTCATGCGAACGGGATCAACCAGGTGACTTCCGCGGCAGCATCGGAGGCCCTGCAGGCCGGGGAGGCCCACGGCGGCGGCGCTCCAGCTGCGCGGGCCCGCCTGGAGGACAGCAGCTCGACGGGGAGCAGCACGGCCGTCCTCTCGGCCACCGCTGTCGCTTTCAGCGTCCTGGGGCACGTGCTCAGCTACGCCTGCGCGGGCGAAGAGGAGGATACCCAGGAGATCGTGGCGTGCGCCAAGCGTGGCGCCTACAAGGTGCTGGGCAGCCACGCAGGAGGCAAGTCTCGCCTGAAGGTGCAGTGCCCAGGGCCCAGCTACCTGACCAACAAGTCGAGGAACCAGCGCAGCCTGCGGGAGCGAGGGCTCCATCCTGGTGGCAGGCCTCGGACGGACAGGCAGAGGGCGAGAGCAGAGGGCACCCCTGCCTTGCGCTCGCAAGGACCTGTGCCAGGGCACGCCCAGGAGCGCTACCTGGAGTGGCTCGGCATGGAGGCGGAGCCTACAGGCGGGGCCTCCCCCGCGGCCAGCAGCTCGGGCAGCGGCCCAGCGGCTCCCGCGGCAGTGCAGGTAGTGGAGCCGGCGGCGGCCAGCCTGCCCCAGCAGCGGCCAGGCCCGAGTGCTAGCGCCCTTGGTGCAGGCGGAGCCGCCGTGGGGGAGCCCGCAGCCGCGGGGCCAGCGCCTAGCGACGGCCTGGTGGTCCGTAGGGTCCGCCGCCGCCTGGCACGCCGCGGCTCGGAGTCGTCTGGGAGTGATTGACGGCGCTCCCGCTGGCTGCCCGCGTCTGCTGCTCCTGTGTGAGTAGGCACGCGGGGCTCGCTTGCTTGGGGCTCGGCGTCTCTCGGGAACTTAGGTCCCGCCTGGCCCTGTCCCCGTTTTCCTTTTTCCTTTCGCCTTGAAGGTCCCGATTATAGCTATAACTATAACTACACAGGAGAACGGCAGTACACACAGGAGCATGGCAGAACATACAGGTGCACGGCAGAATTGACTGCAGAACACGCAGGAGCACGGCAGAACACATAGGAGCACGGCAGAACACGCAGGATAACGAGGAGCACGGCAGAACACACAGAGTACATAGGAGCACGGCGGAACGCACAAAACACATAAGAGCATGGCAGAACAAGCAGCAGCACGGCAGAACACGCAGGAGCACGGCAGAACACACAGGAACACATCCGTAGCCATTTTGGCTCAAGGCCATGGAGCACCCGACGACCGCGAGTCGTCCGCGGCGTTCCGAGCGCGAGGGGCTCCTCGCTTGGGGCCAGTGCAATTCTTTGGTTTGCTCCCTGCATACGCAGCGCGGAGGCGCATCCTGTCAGCCCACGTGGCCTGGGCCATGGCGCGGCCCTCGCGGGGTGGCGGCAGCGGAGGCAGGCGCAGCAGGACGTATTGGATGCGCAGCTGCGGTGGATGGAACTGGGACTGGCGCACCACGTGCCTTGTCTGTGCGTACGCGGCCCCGCCCTGGGCGTTGGATGCTGCAGCCAAGGCCAAGCCCCAGGCGGACAAGGACGGCTGGGTGGATCAGCCGCGCGGGCGCCGTGCCCAGCGGCAGGCCCGCAGTGCGACAACGAGTGCGGCAACCTCCAAGTCGCAGACCTCGGCGTCGGGCGCCAGTGGTACGCCCAGCGGCAGCGGCGCCACGGCGATCGAGAGGCTGCAAGTGGCGGTCGAGCAGCTGGAGGCGCTGCAGGCGCAGCCGCCCGACGGAGTCGACTGCTGCTTCACCGACGTCGTCGCCAGCCAGCTGGAGGCCAAGCGCGCCGAGCTGGCAGAGGCCCAGCGGGCCGCAGCGGAGCAGCAGGCGTCCTCCATGCCGCTGTCGACGATGCCCCCCACAAGGAGGCGAACGCCATCAGCAAGGCGGAGAAGCGCCTCCGTGCAGCGCGCCAGAGCCTGGAGCAGAAGCAAGAGCTGGACAAGCTGCCCGAGGCATGGGGCTCCTGCAACTTCGAGGTGGCGTGGGCGGCCATTCGCTCCCAGGTGGAGGCAGTGCGTGCGCAGCTTGCCGAGGCCCCTGTCGCCCCGAGGAGAGCGCCCTGGGCGGAGTCGCGCCCCGTGGACGAGATCAGCAGCGAGGACGGCGACCGCGCAGGAGGCTGCAGGCACTGGCAGCCGCAGTGCGCCGCGGAGGTTTGGCCAGGCCGAGCGTCGCGGCGACGCCCACGGAGAGCGGCCGAAGGTCGCCCAGGCGTGCAAGCGGGAGCTGGCGGCCGAGGCTGAAGACTTGGCCCTTCTTGCTGCTCGCCCTGCTAGCCGCGCCGCTGGGAGTCGCAGCGGAGGCGAGAGGCCACAGCTGTCGTGCGCGTAGCCACGCCAGAGGCGCTGTGCATTGGCAGCAGGAGGGCGGCGGCGCCGAAGCGGCCCGTTGCGGCGGCACGCGGCCCCTCGACCTCGGGAGTGCGCAGGCCCCACCGGCGCCAGGCCAAGCTGCGACGGCAGCTCAGGATGTCCGCAGCGGGCTGGAGGAGTTCGGGGTCAACGGCAACGCATGGAGGTGGAGCCTGGAGGGGGCCGAGGCCTCGGGCCCGCGCAGCGGGGACCCGCCGCGCCTTGTAGTGCACCAGGAGACCCGTTTGGCTCCGCACCGCCTGGAGGAGGCCAGAGGAGAAGCGCGGCGCATGGGCTCTATGGCGTTCCTCCACGCGTCGGCGCCCACGGACAAGGAGGGCCCGCTGGCGAGCTCAGGCGGCGTCGCAGGCTGGAGGCAGGGCTGGAGAGGAGTCACAGTACCCGCTGTGTCAGACCTGCAGCTGCTGGCATGCTCGCTGTACCTCCGTGGCGCCCTGAGGCCTATAGGCTTCAACCTCGACAGCTTCACTGCCTTCGGCGACTCGGTGCTCTACCAGAGACCGCGGTTCATTCCCGTCGTCCAGCACCAACGGGACAGGTTCGGCGGGGTGGGCGTGTAGCCTCACTGAGGCCAAGCCGCCTGGGCTGGCAACCCTCCACGCCGCCCCAGCGGGCGGCAGGCCGCTGGGTGTGGCCCGCAACGTCGACGGCGACATCGCGCTGCAGGCCGTGGGCACGGAGCAGCTGGTGGCCGCGTGGTTAGGCGGAGCAGGGCTGGGAGTGGCATGCCGCCTCCGTGGTCAGCACCTGCCCCTCAGTGCTGCCAAGACGACCTTCCTCGCTCCGAGCCCCAGCCTAGGTTGCCAGCTCGGGGCGTGCGGGAAGTCGCAAGGCGGGACCCTCTGCGAGACCTTGCAAGCCAGGAACCTCGGCTCGGACCCCGCCAGCGCGAAGTGGGGAGCGCACGAGGGCAGAGTCCGAGCTGCAGGAGTGCTTCGTGAGCGCGCAGGCTGGACCCGATCCACAAGGCTGGGCCCGCGGCCAGCGGGATGAGCGGGCGCACGGTCACGGGCAACGCGGACGGCGAGCTGCACAGTTGGCGGTTGGCGGCCAGTCGCAGCGCAAGAGAGCTCCCCATAGGCGCAGAGCGAGGGCTGCGCATGCGATATGCCGAGCTCAGGAGGAGGCGTTACCTGGACCCAGTCCAGATGAAGGCAGGCCTGCTGCAGGAAGGCGAGCTGCCACCGATGGTGATGGAGCGGGGGCTGGAGGCGGCCAGGCACGCCACAATTGACGGGCCATGGAGGCGTTGCGCCTCCCCCTTCGACGCGGAGATGCTGACCCGTGCGAGGATCGGCTGGCACTTCAAGTCCGAGCGGCGCATGATCGCGGACATCGGCGACGAGCTCGACCTCAGGCACCTCGGGCCTCAGGAGCTGGGATGGGAGGCTGGCCCAGGCGCTCGTAGTGCGTCCTTTCGTCACGAGACGCGGATGCTCAGCCACGGCGCCTGCCTGCTGAGGGCCCGCATCTTCAGCCCGCACTGGGCGCAGGCCAGGCTCCTCGATGCGCGGGAACAGGGGCAAGCACGCTGCTGCGGAGCAGAGAGAGGCACCTTGAGGCACCGCCAGCACGGCGGCCCTGGGCACGAGGCCAAGCGACACGACAGAGACCGCGGGCTGCCTGCGCATTGGCCACCGCAGGGTCGCCGCGCCGACGCCATGGGGTCGCGTTGTGTCCGCAGGCCATCCGATGAGAAGCTCTACGGCAAGCTGTACCTCGACGGCGCGACGCTTGAGCCGCTGTTCGGCGCCTGGCGTTGCGAGGGCGGAGCCACAGCGCACCGCGACGGCGACGGCAACCTGGCGGCAGAGGTCTACGGCGCAGTCGGGAGCGACCGCTGCCCGCAGCGGACGGCCAAGGACGGCGAGGACTTAGCGGCCTGGATGTTCGCCACCCTCGCAAGGCCAGCGGTGGAGGAGGTCAACATCGACTGTCCGAGGCATGCGGTACTCGACGGGTGCCTGACCGAGGCCCAGAGGCGCGGCAACGAGCACGCGTGTCGCCGTGCCGTGAGGAGGGCCCAGACGCATGCAGGGGACAAGCGGACCGTTGGCGTGCACCAGGCGCAGGCAGGGTTCGTGCAGGAACTCGGGCGCTGGATCAGGTGGGCCGTCTTCCTCGGGCAAGGCATCGAGGCCAGGGACGGCGAAGGGCTCCCTCCTGCTGCCGAGCGGCGCCAGGCGCGTTTCGCTGACGCCGAGAGGTTTCAGGCGGCGGAGGAGGCCTGGGGCGCGGGGCCGTCGGCCGAGCGGCCGCGCCTAGAGAGCGCCCGCTCGACAGGCAACAGCTAGGCAGCCCTTTTTCGGCCAGTGCAGTAGCCTTCAGCATCCTGGGACATGCCCTGCCCCACGCCTGCGCTGGAGAAGGTGGGGACACACAGGAGCTCGCGGCGTGCTCCAAGCGTGGCGCCTACACGACGCTGGGCGGCCGCTCAGGGGGAAAGCCTCGCCTCAGGGAGCGGTGCCCATGCGACAAGGCCGACAAGGGCGGCAGGAACCAGCGCAGCCTGTGGCTACGAGGACTCCATCCTGGAGGCAGGAGGCAGGAGGGGTCACGAGCTGCCAGGCACAGAGTGAAAGGAAAGGGCATCCCTACGCTGCGCTCGCGGGGTCCAGTGCCAGAGCACGCGCAGGAGCGGCACCTGGAGTGGCTCGGCACTGCAGCGGAGCCAGCTGCAGACCCCTCGGCCACGGCGGGCAGTTCAGGCAGCGCCCCAGCGGCAGCTGCTAAGCCGCGAGTGGCTGCGGACCCAGGAGGAGGCCCCGCGGGGGCGGCCGTCGCGGCGGCCGCCGCCAGCCTGCCCAAGCGGCGCCCTGCTGCAGCGAGAGAGGAGAGCCTCGGCGAGCTCGGGGTCGTCGATGAGGAGCTCGCCGCCGCGGTTGGCCCTGCGGGCGGAGCCCTGGAGGGCCGCAGGGTACGCCGCCGCGTGGCGCGCCGTGGCGGCCTGTCCGTGAGTGAGTGAGTGAAAGGTTGCATCGCTGTGGCTCGCGCCTGCTGCTCCATTTGGGAGCAGGCTTCCGCCGCCCTCGGTGCCGTTTGGGACTCGGCGTCTCTCGGGAACGCGGGTCCCGTCTGGCCCTGTCCGTGGTTTTGCCTTTTGCCTTGAAGGCCCCGTCTTTAACCTCTTAACTTGTAACACACAGGAGCACGGCAGAACACATAGGAACATGGCAGTGCAGGACCATGGCAGAAGACACAGGAGCACGGCAAAACACACAGGAGCACGGCAGAACACACAGACCATGTATTCACACAGCCGCACCCACAGGCACACGCACATAGGCACACGCACACAGGCACACGCACACGCAAACGGACACACAGACACATGTACACACGCACACACACACACAAACACACACACACACACACACACACACACACACACACACGCACACGCACACGCACACGCACACGCACACACAGAGAGGCAACATACGTCCACTCAGACCGCAGGAGTACGGCAGAACAGCACGGCATAACACAGCAGTGCCGTAGACCACCACGCACGGACACACATGCACATATTCCACGCACGCACGCGCACGCGCAAACGCACGCACGCCACGACATATCTGCGCGGCAGACCAACAAAAGAGCAGATTTAACATACTAAGTGGACAAAAGCGGAGCGTCCCGTTCTTGTCCGGTCAGGTTCTTACGAACGGCAGTTTTGTGCTCCATCAGTTTGGCGGCAGGGGTGGAAGAGAAGAGGTACTTAGTGGGTGGTGGCTCTGCCTCTTGAGTTTTGCTGCAATCCTTGGGCGGAAGAAGATGGTACCAGGAGGCATCTGCCCTCCCAGGAGTCGCCGCTGGAACGCGTCAGGAGGAGGAGGAGGAGGAGGAAGGAGGTGGAGGAGGAAGGAGGAGGAGGAGGAAGGAGGAGGAAGGAGGTGGAGGAGGAGGAGGAGGAGGAGGGAGTAGGTGGAGCGGAGAGGAAAACAGACAGAGGTACACAGGGAGGGAGGAGCAAGAGACGGAGGAGTCGCAGGAGTAGACGGGAGCCCATCCGCCGGGCCCTCCAGGCATGGGCACACGACCAGTACTGAACTGCCCGACTCTCCTCTGGTACTGACTTGCCAGTCTCGCAGGCGCACTTGCCATCCCTGGGGAGGGAGCCTGGTAAGGTCTCGGGCTGTGCACACACAGACCCGCCCAGATACTCCTGGCTTGGCTCAGTGGGCCCCCCGAGGAGTCTGGGCGATCTCAACACATGGGCGCCGACTCCCGCGGCGCCCTTGAGGAGCCCAGCCAGGACTACCTGGGAGGAGCTGTATGTGTGCAACCCGAAGCCTTCTCAAGGGAGCCATTGCTGTTTTGCCGCCTGCTTCCCCCTGTCCTCTCCTCCCGCGCTCACCTGCGCACCGGTCCCAGCATGACAGGGGCGATGCGGGGAGAACATCCTTCGGTGGAGCGTAGGCTTAAGTCGGGCCTGTCCCTCTGCAGAATATTCAAAAATAGTCAAAACACAGTTCGGGGACCATTTCTTGAGTATTTTTGTGCATGTATTGTTTTTTAACTTTGCCAAGATTCGCCTGTAGGGGGACACGCCAGACCTAAACGTAGGCTGGGTGGTGGGAGGTGGATCATGTCTCTGAAGCGCGCGCGTGCGTGGACGGGCTAGCGGTTGTTCCCTCACGGCGGCCCTTATGCGTGCCAAGGTCTGAGAGCCTGGCAGGCGTGGCACATTCTCGAAACCAGAGGGGGTGCTGGTCCCTCACCGCGGCCCCTATGCGTGCCAAGGTCTGAGAGCATGGCAGGCGTTGCATTTGCTCGACACCATATAGGGTGCGCAGGGGGTGGTCCCTCACCGCGGCCCCTATGCGTGCCAGGGTCTGAGAGCGTGGCAGGCGTCCGTGCCAGGGCGGGAAAGCGCGGCATGTGGCAGTCAGAACTGTAGCCACCCTGGTTCAAACCGGCTCGAATATTGTAGGTGTTGCGTTGTCACCCGCGCCGCTCATGCCGCCCAAATGTGCCATGTGCCAGAGTCTGCGCTGGGCATGCGCACGGGCGTGGCCCCCGCTCAGAGATCCGTTTGTCGAAGAACGCCCCCGGAAACTCTCAGTCCAAGGGATTTTCTAATGTTTACGAGCTGGGCGCTGTCGGATGCTTTTCGACGACGATCTCGTTCCGTGTCCTGCGTGACCGAAGTGCTTGTTGCCGCCCTGGAAAAGGACCCTCGGTGACCTCCTCTCCTCTTGACCGGCGCCGCCAACGGTATCCGCGGGGCAACGGCCACCAGCATTATTCTCGCATGTTTCATTTCAGCTGTCACCATCTCAGACATAATATGAGTTTGAGGAGTTCCTCGGTGGCGCAATGTTGGCCTCTTCGGGCCCTCTTGGAGGAAGGACGTTTTGGAGGCCTCTTGGGCCGTCTTGGAGGCTTCTTCGGGGCATCTGGGTCCGTCTTGGGCTGTCATGGAGTCTCTTGGGCGACCTCTGCGGAGTCTTGGATTAGGGCCGTCTTGGGGGCCATCTTGGGCGAACTTGGGGCCATCGTGGCCGTCTCGGAGGCCATCTGGAAGCCGTCTGAAGCAGGACTAATTCGGGTGGCCGGCGACATCGGCCGAAGCCCCAGAAGGAGTTCTTTTGGGGAAAGAACCAAAAACTATCAGAAATCTGGCACGCCGGGCACCCCCGTGGCAAGACCGCAGGGGATGGTGAACGTTGTGGCCTTCGGCCGATCATTAAGTAGTGGGTCTGAGGTGTTGTGGGCGCCTGCAGGGATTTCTTGAGTGCCACCACTTAAGTCACGTCGATCACAATGGGCGTCGAGTCCTCGCGCCTGGGTTGTGGGTCACAGGCCCTCTCCGGGGCCTCAGGGAGCGTCTCCCTCTCAGCGCCTCGTGGGCCGCCCCAGGGGCGCATTTGGAACAAGAGGTGGACGTTGCCAGGAATACTTCATCTTTGGGGGAATTTCTCGGATGCCAAGACATACCGAGGGCCTGTTGTTTTAGATGGCATTTGTTTGTCCAGATTGCTCGGTCGCAAAGGCGACGAAATGAGGCCATGGCACCCAGATATCCACCGAATTCGGGACTATGGTGATACTTGGGCTCCAGAATGCCAGAGCGGAGTTCAAAACTCCGCCACCTTCATCTCTGAGAAGCTGATGGGCGTATTTTGGCCAGTTGGGTTTTCCGAGGCACGTGAAGAAAGTGAAGAGGGTCAGGCTCATCAAAATTATACCGCCACTTTAGCAGTGGACCCCCACGTTTTTGCGTCACCGTATTACTTCTAGTTTCGTGATGAACGCAGCTGTCTTGTTATATTTCTCTATTTATCTTGTTGTGTTTGCTATCTCTCTCTCTCTCTCTCTCTATGTTTGTATATTTTCTCTATGTATGTATATGTTGCTTGTTTTTCTCTCTCTCTCTCTCTCCCTCTCTCTCTCTCTCTCTCTCTCTCTATACATATATATATATATATATATCCTGGCCGACGCCATCTCGCAGCAATGTTGAGACGAATGGCGATATTGTTGCCTGAGGCAAATCGAGCCACCATACCGGCCAGCAGTCTCGGTGGCGATTGTTCGAGGGGCACGTGAGACCGTCACGTGCGACACCTCGTGTCCCCAGGCCTGGGAGATCCGTGGTGAGGCTGCTGTTGCTGTTGTTGCTCGTGTTGTTGATGATGATATTGGTGTTAATACTAATGATAATAATGATGATGATGATCATGACCATGACCATGACCATGATTATGTTGATGATGGTGGTGGTGATGGTGATACGGATTGTGATGATGAGGATGCGGATTATGATGGTGATGCAGATTGTGATGGTGATGGCGATAGTGATGGTGATGCTGGTGATGATGAGTTCGATTATGATGACGATGATGATGATGATGATGACGATGATGACAATGATGATGATGATGATGATGATGATGATGATGATGATGATGATGATGATGATGATGATGATGATGATGCTGATGATGATGATGATG